TGACTCTAACCCAGTGACTTTCAAGAGGCCTATCTATAGCTTCATACTGGAGCTGCCATCCTTCCCTGCCCCCAAACGCTACATGAGTCCCTCCACTGGTATAGGAGGATGTAGCAGACCAGATGATACAGATGATTCTGTCTGGCCTTTGCCCCACTGAAGCACAGGAAGGGGCACAACTACACTCCCAGGAGGCAACCCCACAGACCCCAAGAGAAGGACAACCAGGAATCTGAGACCTCTTTCAAGCCTGTAAATCCCTCAACCACATGTGCCCAGGGAGTGTGCTGCATTCTGGAAATGAAGCACGGCATGTCCTAGGTAAGTAAGTAAGTGGACAGCTACCAGGTCCTGAATGCCATGAGGGCCCTGGTAAGAGATCAGGGGTCCCAAAAGGCAGAAAGCCAAGAATAACCAAGGTGCCCACAGCTTCCACAGCACTCTTTATGTTTGTCAGGAGGGTAGAGTTGCTGCAGGATTGTGCAACTGGCACTGCCCTTTGAGAACCCCAAGGAGCCTTCCACCACTGCAACCATCATGAGATACTTGCTATCATCACCCTCCATATATCTGCTGCTTGCAGGACAAGTCACCATCCAGCTGGCAGTGAGTGCACAGGTTGGCAGTAGAGAGGCCATCATGATGCCTGCCCAGAGAATCCTATGTAGGAGGCACAACACCACAGAATGGAAAGCATCTCTGCCCTGAATGCCCCTTGGCCTAGCAGGAAGCATCTGCAAGGGAGGGTAGCAATGATAATAGCATCCTGACCCCAACACTGAGCCCCACCTGCAAGCTCAAGTGATCCTATGCCTCAGTAACACACAGCTCCCAGGGGGAGGGGGAAAGAGGACAGGAGAGGGAGATGAGGGAGCAATACTGCCCCCCACTAGTGCACCATCACTGCCACTCCCAAACCCAAAACTACCCCTTCCACCAGGGGTTGACTCACCCCCCGCCCCGACCCCACAAATGCTGAATGGGAGCTTGTTCCCAAGGGGTGGTGAGCCACCAACCCTGCAAAACAGAATGCCCAGGTCCAGCCATCCCCCTGATCTGAAAAAGGCCTCCTTCCCATGAAGAAAAGGGGGCTGTGAAGGACCCAGTCACCTCAGCAGCTGTGTCCAAGAACCCACTGCCAGGGGAAAAAATAAATAAAGGGGGAAGGTAAGGAGAAAAAACCAGGAGCAGGATCAAGGAAAGCAACTCTGTCCTTGTCTGAAGAGTCCCTGGAGAAGATGCCCCCCTCACTCCTCCCCCCCACCGACCTCAGTTCTGCTGCCCACACAATTTGCCCTTCCTCATCATAGGTCCTGAGGTTAAAAAACAAACAAACCAGCTACCACTTGAATAGATCTGACACCTGACCACCTAGTGGATGTGGGAAGTCTAGGTTTACACTTAAAAGGGTGCGTCTACACATGCATTAATGCACTTTGGTGAACATACTTTACAATGGAGGTACTAGATTTAATGTATTAACAAAATGTGCATAGGCTGTCATCATCTGCATCAACTAAAAAGCATAATGTTCAAGTGACACTTGATATGCATTAGCCTATTTTAATGGATATTAACTAAGTAGTATGTTTTTTTTAGCGACACTTTAATGCCCATTAAAATAGGCTAAAGGGCATTAAAATGCCTGTTTAGATGCACCTAGAATCCCAGTGAGACTAACCCTTCCTCAAGGCTCTGGAACAGGTACCACCTCCATTGAGATATGTGCAGCCTCCTTCTCACCTTGCTGACACCATCCCTGGACCCCGACTGGTCCTCTAGCTGTACTGAGTGGGGAAGATACAGGGCCCTTTGGTTGTTGAGTCCAGAGGACCCTGCACAGAATCCTGTCTCCCACCCCGCCATCCCTCTTAACTACCCCTCACCTACCTCCAGAGGCTACATTACTCCCTCTACTGGTATCAGACACTCGGCACATAGCAGATCAAGTGATGCATGTCTCTAGCCCCACAGGTCACTGCCAGGCCTCTGCCCCCACTGAAATAAGATATGGACATACCTATACTTCCTGAGGGGCAAAAGGAAATAGCCACAGACTAAAGAGGGTAGCATCTGTTGTCCCACAGAATTAGTTGCTGTGTACTTCATAGTCTCCCATTGGGAGGTTCTACTATAATTACAAAGATATGATGCAATTGGGATGAAGGTGCCAGGATAGTTCACATGACTGAGGTCCTGTCACAGATCGGTATAAGTGAGTCAGGAGGGACAAAGGGGTTGGGGGAGGGGGGGAAGGTAGGGTTGCCTTGCATAAAGGTGTACCTATGCTCAGAGGTGCAGCAAAGTGGCAAACCTCTGGACAAAGATCAGGGTAGTTGCAATGATCATCTGCTATACATCCAACCAAGAGGAGGTAAATGAGGATGAAGTATTGAATGCCTCCCCCCACCACCTTCATGCTTTACAATGGTCAGCCACAAGGTGAAGTGCAGTTGACAGCATAGTGGAGGAGAAAAAGTGTAGCATAACAGAAGAATGGGATAGGGATTATTTAGAGAAGCTAGATGCCTTGAGGTTAGGGTACTGAAGCAATTGGTTGAGGTAAGCTTCAGAGCCATTGCCTATAGTCTTTGAGGACTTGCAGAGATCCTATGGAGTCCAGGATGACTGAAAAAGGCAAATACAGCATTCATTTTTAATAAAGGGAAAGATAGGAAGATCCAGGAGATTGCAGACCAGTCAGCCAAACATCAATCCCCAAAGAGGTCATGGAGCAGGTCCACAAGGAAACTGTTAAGAGCCACCTACAGGAAAGTGTCATCAGGAACAGGCAGCCTAGATTCACCAAAAGCAAGTCATGTCAAGCCAACCTGATTTCCTTCTATGACAAGGTGACAGACTCTGTAGACTGGAGGGAAGGGACAGTGGATGCAATGGATATCATTATCACCTTGCTGGGTGAATGACAGCACAGAACAAGCAACTTGGCCAAGCTGTTATGAGGGCCCATAGTGGAACAGGCCAATCAACTGAGATCTTGTGCCCCAGGCTTATACATCAGAACCTGTATGCAGCCATTAGATGTCTTAGCCCCTGTAAACAGAATGGTTGCAATTTGCTGCAGCTACATGTGGCTGCCAGGACCACTAGAGGTACTCTAGTAGTCATGGGCAATTGGTGCCCCCCCACAGCAGCCAGGCAGAGACCAGAAGGGGCAGC